CCTCCTCTCCTTCCCCCTTCCGCTTCCTCCTTCTCTCCCTCTCCCCTTCCTCTTCCTCCTCCACTCCCTCCTCCCTTCCGCCTCCTCCTAATCTCCCCCCTCCCTTTCCCCTTCCTCTTGCTCCTCCTCTCCCTCACCCCTTCCCCCTCCTCCTCCTCCTCCTCCTCTTCTCCCTCCCCCCTTCCCCTCCTCCTCTCCCTCCCCCTTCCCCCCCTTTCCCTCCCCCTTTTGCGGCGACAGCGAAGGCTCTCGCTCGCTCTTTCGCTCTTTCTTTCGCTCTTGATTTCATTTTGGTTTTGTCTGAATGCGTTATCTGTGTTTGTCTTGTATTCTTTCTTCTTCATTCTTAATCCTCCTCCTCCTCCTCTCCTCCCTCTCTTTCTTTTGCTCTGTATGTATAGATGGATGGATGATTGTTAGGTGTATTATATATATATATATATATATATATATATATATATATATATATATATATATATATATATATATATATATATATGTTTATTCTTGCTTGTTTGACTTGTGTGAGTATCTTTTTCTCTTTCTCTCTTTCTCTTTCTCTCTTCGTCACTCTTTTGCTCAGGCTCCCTCTGTATTTCCCGTTTTGCCCCCTCCCCCCTGTCACAGAGAGATTGCCGCATGCTTTCGAGGCACAGACGCACTCATATACACGTGTGTGTGTGTGTGTGTGTGTGTGTGAATGTGCCCGTGTACGCAAGCAGACATACACATTTACACACGTTAAGATTGTGTACATTCGTTGCATACACACATATTTGTACGTACACAGATATATTGTGTATTCCCTGACGTACAGACATACACCATACACACACACACGTCCATATACCGAAATTCCTGTCAAACGAGTAACGCTGTGGATTTTTAACCTTGTTTTTTTTCCTTTGTTTCCAGGTGAGTTGCAGCGGAATGAGTGGCCATGCCCGGTGCCGCTGCAGGTGCAACACACGCAAGTAACAGTAACGCGAATGTCTTGGGAAATGTGTACCCTCTGTCTCCGGCGGGGACGGCCGTTTGAAGTACAGTTCTGAATATTTCATGGCGCCGTGTCTGTTCCGCGCCCTGCAAAACCCGCCCGCCTGGACCCGCTCGGCCTGCGTGGGGCCGTCCTCTCCCTCCTCTCTCCGTCCCTCCCTCAGTCTCTCCCTCCCTCCCTCCGCCCCTCCCTCCGTCTCTTCCTCCCTCCCTCCCTCCGTCTCTCCCTCCCTCCCTCCGTCTCTTCCTCCCTCCCTCCGTTCCTCGTCGTACCCCCCCCCCCCCCAAGCCTGCTCTCTCTCTCTCTTCTTCCTATTCCTGTTCCTTTTCTTGTTCCTCTTCCTTCTTCTCCTTTTCTTCTTCGTTTTTTTTTTCTTTTCTTTATTCTTCCCTTTCCTCGTTCGCCTCGTTCCCTCGATTCTCTTTTTTCTAATTATTATGACTCCTCGTTTCTTTTCTTTGTCATCCTTCTCATTCTCCATTATGCTTCTCTTTCTCTCTTCCCTTCCCTCACCTCCCTCGTTCATCAACCTCACCTGCCCTCTTTTCCTCCCTCTTCCTCCCTTCCTCTTTCCCTCCCTCTCTCCCTCCCTTCCTCTTTCCCTCCCTCTCTCCCTTTCTTCCTCTTTCCCCCTTTCTCTCCCTCTCTTCCTCGTTCCCTCCCTCCCTCCCTTTTTCTCTCCTTTCCTCTTTCCCTCCTCTTCCACCTTTCACCCTTCCCCTTCCCCCCTTCCCCCTTCCCCCTTCCCCCTTCTCCTCTCATGCGTCCTCTAGGTTCAGCGAGGAGAGAAAAGGAAAAGGGGTAAAAAAAAAAGAAAAGAAAAAAAAAGTTGAAAACGAAAAAAAAAAGAAAAAGAAATGGTTGCAACAACAGCATCGGTAACCTTTGAGGCAACCAGACCAGGATTTCCACATTTCATGTTTTCGTGTATTCATTCATTCGTGTGGTCGTCCACGGCGGTGTAATGAGCGCGACGGAGAGGAGAGAGGACGACACACGAAAAAAAAAAAGAAAATGAAAAAAAAAAAGAAGAAGAAAAAAAAAACGGCGGATTAATGCAGAGTAAGGGAGGAGGCCGGGTGGTGGTGGGGGGAGAGGGGGGGAGGGTGAATCGACTGATTAAATCTTTTGTCGAATGTCTTTTTTTTTTCTTCTTTTTCTTCTTCTTCTTTTTTTCGGGATATCACAAATTCATGCCGAGTTGAATACGTGAATTAATAAATTGTAAATGTTTGGAGTCACGGGAAGAGATTAATAAAAGAAATAGCATAGTAAGTCTCGATGTTAATACTTTTTTTTTTCTTATTAGTTTGCCCTCGACTATACGAAAAAGAAAACGCGTTTGTTGCAGGATCGTTGCAGAGGTTTACGTTGATATATAGCATTTGCTGCGGCATTGTGGCACATTATAAGGGCAGAAGTGTCAGCGGACAGTGAGAATTAGTGGGCGATTGTGAGAAATGATAAAAGGGAATCGATTAATTTATGTTAAGAGATAAGAGGAGGTTCGTATTGTGGGGGGGGGGGGGGAAGGCGCCGCTGCGTTATTTATGGAATATTGAGGTCGTTTTTTTTGCACGCTTGTTTCTTTTATTGTTTTCTTCTTTATATACGAGAGGGAGAGAGAGAGAGAGAGAGAGAGAGAGAGAGAGAGAGAGAGAGAGAGAGAGAGAGAGAGAGAGAGAGAGAGACTGAAAGAGAAAGAGAGAGAGACAGATTAAGAGCGACAGCGAGAGAGAGAGAGAGAGAGAGAGAGAGAGAGAGAGAGAGAGAGAGAGAGAGAGAGAGAGAGAGAGAGAGAGACTGAAAGAGACTGAAAGAGACTGAAAGAGAAAGAGACAGAGACAGATTAAGAGCGACAGCGAGAGAGAGAGAGAGAGAGAGAGAGAGAGAGAGAGAGAGAGAGAGAGAGAGAGAGAGAGAGGGAGAGAGAGAAAGAGAGAGACTGAAAGAGAAAGAGAGATAGACAGATTAAGAGCGACAGCGAGAGAGATAGACAGATTGAGAGAGAGAGAGAGAGAGAGAGAGTTACGCGATATCACGCCATTCTTGTGGCGGCGCGTTTTTAATATCCCTAATTGACTTTTCATATTCTGAATGTTGTCATATTGTGTATAACTTTCTAAGAATGTCCTAAATAAAAAGTAGATGCTGATATCCCTCAGACATACACACACACACACACACACACACACACACACACACACACACACACACACACACACACACACACACACACACACACACACACACACACACACACTCACACACACGTACACACACACACACGTACACACACACACGTACACACACATTCAAACATTACAAACTCTTTCGCGCACAAAGAGGCGCAGTATCATGTTAATTAGGCAAGTTTATCCCGGAGCGCCATTAATGACAAGCCGAAAGCCTCGGGCCATTAGAGAGGTTGCGCCGAAGGAATGAAATGTGTATCGACATGTCCGTAGATTTTTTTGTGTCGCTGCTTTAACTCGGCGGGGAAGTCGGTGTTGATTTTTTGTTGTTGTTGTTGTTTTTTGTGTTTGTTTTTGTTTAGTAGGGTAGTGGTGAATGTAGGACGTCGTTATTTTTTATATTATTGTTGTTATTGTTATAGGAGTCATGACTGTTATATTTTTTGTTATTGTTATGTAGTTATGATTGTTAAAGTTAATATTTTTTTATTATTACTACTACTACTAATAATAATGATAGCAATATTATTATTATTATTGTTATTATTATTATTATTATTATTATTATTAACATTATGGCAAGCGCAACTGATTCTACCACTGCTTTTACTTCTACTATTACTGCTGCGGTTGTGGTTATTATTGATATTCTGATATATTTTAACATCATACGCACACACACACACACACACACACACACACACACACACACACACACACACACACACACACACACACACACACATATACATACATACATACATACATACATACATACTTATATACATACATACATACATAAATATATCTTCTATACATTTCTATGATTTATTTATATCTATAACTCAAAGATAAGATAGAGGAACGAGTGTATTCAACAGCTGAACCTGAATCGTCAGGCTGACCCTTAAGACAGATCACGAAGGTCTTTTTTGAATGGCCTGCTTCTTAGCCCTTGGAAGTGGCGATAGGCCTATGCTTTTTTTTTAATGAAATTGAGAGTGAAGAAAAAAATAGGAGTGGTATTTGCGTTTCGTTTAATGGACGCCAGGAGGATGCGGAGGGAATAGGCGGTTATTTTGAGCGTCCGTTTTGTGAGGTTAGGAATAGGTTTTAAGTGAAATGTTAGATTGTCGTTGTTGCCACGGTAGTTGGTTGCCATTCGTCGGGGGGGGGGGGGGGTGAGATAGACGGGGAAGGGGAGGAGACGGGAGAGGGGGTGGGGAGGGGAAGGGAGAGAGAGGTGGGGGGGATGTGTGTGTGTTTGGGGGGGGTGGGAGAGTGTTGGGGAATTCGTCCTCTCATTAATTGAACAGAAAATAGGTTAGCAGAGGGGAAAAATCCCATTCCGGTTCTATTTCATTAGTTTGTGTTGTACCTCACTAGTTAGCGTTCGGTCCAGTGGCTGTGATGATGAGGATGATGGTGGTGATGACCTCCCCCCCTCCTCCTAGCCGTGCGCTCTACCCTACGCCCGCCCACCTCATTCACCCCTTCCTCTTTCTCTTTCTCCCAGCCCCCTCCCCTCCCCCCTGCTTTTCTCCTTTCCCCTCCAAACACCCCCTTCCCCTTACCTTTGACTTCCCCATTCCCCAGTTCCTTCCCTCACCTTTTGACTCTCCCCCCATTCCCCTTCCTCTTTTCCTCTCACCCCTCCCCTTGTCCCCTCCTTACCTCCCTACCCCCACCCTATCTCAGCCCTCCCTCTCCCCCATTCCTCCTCCTCATCTCAGCCTTCCCACTCCCCAATCCCCCTCTCCCTTGCCCGCTCCCCATCTCGGACTTTCCTCCACCCCCATTCCTCCTCTCCCCCCACTCCTCTCCTCCCCCCCCATTCCTCCTCTCCCCTCCCCCATTCCTCCTCTCCCCTCCCCCATTCCTCCTCCCCCCTCCCCCCTCCCCCATTTTCGTTGTTACCACTTGATAGCGCCAGGCACGTAGCGTTCAGACGTCCGCCCCGGCACTCGGTCGATGGAAATTCTTTTTCCTCCTTCAGTTTCTTCAGTTTTTTTGTTGTTATTATTGCTGTTGTGTTTTTTTTTTAGTTACTGAGTTACAGTCGTATCGGTAATTGTGGTTGTTGTGGTAGTAGTAGTTATTGGTGGTAGTAGTAGTGTATTGTAGGTGTAGATGTGGTGGTAGTAGTCGTTGTTTTAGTAGTAATATAGTGGTGGTAGTAGTAGTAGTAATAGGAGTTGTGGTTGAAAGCCATGATGAGTAAAATTATTCGAGTTGTTATCATTCCCTTGACACCCTTTTTCATCCATCTTCTTTCCCTTCCCCTCTCTTATCCTCTCCCTCCCCTTCCCTTCTCCTCTTTCCCCCCCCCCTCTTTCCCTCTCTCTCTTCCCCTCTCCTTCCCTTTCCCTTCTCTTTTCCCTCTCTCTTTCCCTCTCCCTCCCCTTCCCTTCTCCTATTTTTCTCCTCTCTTTCCCTCCCCCTCTCTTCCCCTCTCTTTCCCTCCTCTTCTCTTCCCCTCTTTTTCCCTCCCCTACCCTTCCCCTCTCTTTCCCTCTCCCTTCCCTTCTCTCTTTCACTTCCCCCTCTTCACCCAACTACAGACTGCCGCCCACGATTCGATCCCACGCCCGTGACCGTAACCCTGGCGCACAGACGACATCCATAAACCGCGCGTCGCTTCTGCTAAAGTCCCCCCCCCCCCCTCCCACTCCCCCCAGTTGAGTTCCCCTTCCACTGATATGTCTTGACGCCACATCTCTGATCTCCCCTCGGTATTCTGGAGCTGTGCCCCCTCTCCCCTCTCTCCCCTCTCTCCCCTCTCTCCCATCTCCCTTTGCTGTCTCTTCTCTCTCACCCTCTTCCTTGTTCTCTGTCTGACGGGATCCTTACCTCTCTTCACCTCTTTGACGCCCTGTCCTCTCCCCCCCCCCTATTCCCCACATCACTAGCCTCTCTTCCCCAACCTTGCCTTCTCCTTCCCCTTTGCCTCTATCTTCCCTCTCACCTTGTTTCTCCCCCACTTCCTCTCTATCCCACCCCTTCTCCCACTATCTCCCTTGTTCCTATCTCTCTCTCTCTCTCCCCTACACCCATCTCCGCCCTCCTCCGCCCTCCTCCGCCCTCCTCCGCCCTCCTCCGCCCTCTCTTTGATGCTGTGTTGTTGTAATGCTTCGCCCCCGCCCCCCCTCCCTCTTTTAATGATGGTCCTCGCCGTTGTGGTAATCTTCCTATCTCCATTGCTTCTTTCTTGGGGGGGGAGGGATCTTTTATCTAGTTCTGTCTCCCTCTTTCTCTCTTTCTTTCCCTCTTCTCCTTTTTCTTTTTTTCCTTCCCTTTCGTTCTCTCTCTCTCGATCTCTCTTCCTTTTTTTCACCCAATCTCTTTTCTATAAAAGACTTTCTTTCTTTCTCATTTTGTTTTCTCTTTCTCTTTCCTCTGGTTAATCTTTGTTTGTCGATATGATTATTTTAATATCTTTCTGTGTCGGTCTCTTTCCTTCCCCTCCCTATTCCCTTTCCTCTTCCCCCTCCCCACTCACCTTCCCCTTCCCCTTCCCCTTCCACTAATCTTCCCTTACTCACTCACTCACCCTTCCTCCCTTCCCTTCCCCCTCACTCTTTCCCTCCCTCTCTTCCCCCTGCCTCCCTCCCTCCCTCCCTCCCTCCGCTCTCTCTCCCTCCCTCCCTCCCTCCCTCCCTCTCTCCCTTTCTGTTTACCTTCAGCTGTATCGCAGATGTTCGCCTACTTTCACAGGTGTACATCCTCCTCCTCGCATCTGTTTCACCACACCAACAAGCTATATATGTTCTCAATGCCGTTTGTGTGCGTGCGTGCGTGTTTATGTGTGTGTATGCATGGGCTACCGAACTGGTTATCATCTTTTAACTTCTTGTGTGTTTTATTTTCTAGTTCTCCTCCCTCCGTCCCTCTCTAGTTATTCCTTCCATCTCTCTCCCTCCCTCCTCTTCCTCCCCTCCCTCCCCTCCCTTCCTCTCTCCCACTCTCCCTCCCTCCCTCCCTCTTTCTCTCTCTCCCTCCCTCCCTCTCCCTTCCCTCTCTCTCTCTCCCTCTCTCTCCCTCCCTCTCTCTCCCTCCCCTCTGTAATTATTCCTTCCGTCTCTCCTCCTTTCTCGTCAACACGCAATCTCGAGAAAGTCGGACGCTTGATGCCTTGCACAAGATTAAAGGAGAATTTAATTTGTATTTTAGATGAGGGCGATTCAGGGCATTTTGAGTGTAAAAGAGAGATCATACTCGGCGATACGAAATATGTTCCTTTTACCAATCGGGAATAAAAACAAAAACAAAAACAAAAACAAACAAAAAAAGAAAAAATGCGCAAACAGCAGCGGTGGGGGGAGGACAAGGAGGTGGGGGGTAGGGTAGGGAGGGAGGGGTAAGGGTAGTAGAGGGGGGGGTGAGAGGAAGGAGGTGGGAAAAGGGGGTATAGGGTATGTGGGCAGGAGTACAAGGAGGGTGGGAAGGGGTACTGGAAGTAGTGGGGGAGGAGGGGAAGGGGGGCAGGGAGTGGGATGGAAGGAGGAGGGAGGGGAAGGGGTACAGAAAGTGGGAGAAGAGGCAGGAGGAGAACGGGAGGGGAAGGTGGAGAGGAAGGTAATAAAGGCGGAGGGGGAAGAAGGAGGATGTGGGGGAGGGGAAGGAAGAAGGAATATTTTGGTGGTGGGGGGGGAAGGGGTAGGATTTCGAAGTGGATTATGGGGGGGGAGGGAAAGGTTAGAAGGAGAGAAATTTAGCAAAGGATTTTCCTTGGCTAGAGAGTGGGGGGGTGGGAGAAGAAAGTAGGGATTTTGATAAGGGAGGGGATTCGAGGAGGCCTTGGTAGGGGAAGTGGGAGGGGGAAGGGGAAGAGGAAGTCAGGTAGAGAAGAGGAGAAAGGGGGGAGGGGGGAGGGGGAAGGGGGAAGGGATTGAGGAATGGAAGGCCAGAGCGTGATGAGATACGCTGAATATTTCAATTTGTTTTTGACTGCGGTTATGGTACTGTAAAATCCAGACAGGAGGTCTTTGGGGGATGAAATGCTGATGTAGTGGCGGAGTATGGGGTGGGGGGAGGGGGGAGAAGGAGGGGCGGCGGACTGAGGGCGGGCGTGCCTTGCCTTCCCCTTCTGTTTTTATTTTTTTCCTACGTCTCTTTTCTTTCTCTATTTCTCTTCTCTCTTCTCTCTTCTTTCGTCTTTCTTCTCTCTACTTCTCTCTACTCCCTTCTTTCTCTCCTCCCCCCCCCTTCCCTCCCTGGGAATAATAATACCACCCGCCCTGTAACAGTTTAGGGTCAATGGTGTTGGAATTTACACAGTACCGCATTTTTCCATTGAATGTATGTCGTCAGTATTGAATTCTGGACGACGGGTTAGTGCGAGGGGAGGGGGGGGGGGTAGGTGGGAGTCAAGGGGAGAGAGAGGTGGAGGGGGAGGGGAGGAAAAGGGAAAGGAAGAGGTCAAGAGAGGGGAGAGGGGAGAAGGTGGGAAGGGGGAAGGGGGAAGGGGGACGAGAGGAGGGAAGAAGAGGGGAGGGAGGTAAGGGGAGGGAGAGTGGGTAGGAGAGGAGATGAAAGGGGAAGGGTAGGGGGGAGGGGGGACGGTGGTGCAAGGGGAAAGGGAGGGGAGGTTGCTTTAGAGTCGATTGTTTAATATTCCTGATGTAGGGCGACTCCCCACCAAAACACCGCTAGGTTTACGCTCCCTCCTCTCTCTCTCTCTCTCTCTCTCTCTCTCTCTCTCTCTCTCTCTCTCTCTCTCTCTCTCTCTCTCTCTCTCTCTCTCTCTCTCTCCTTCTCCCTCCCTCCCTCCCTCCCTCCCCTCCCCTCCCCTCCTTTCCCTCTTCCTCTTTCACTCCCTTTGCTGCTGTTAAAGTAGATCGTGTTGTGTGTGTTCATGTGTGCCTGTATGCATCTGTGTGTGTGTGTATGTGTGTGTGTGTGTGTGTGTGTGTTGGGTGTGTGTGCGTGCACGCGCGTGTGTATGTGTGTGCGGCCGCCTGTGTCTGTGTCTTTTTGTGTGTCTGTGTGGCATGCGCAAACACTCGATCATGTTCCGAGATGTAATTCAAAGTAGAGACCGGATTGGATTGATGGCAGTCTGCACATTGCAAACCCTCTCTCCTCCTGCTCTCCCCTCCCCTACGCTGTCCCCGTCCCCTCTTGCATTCTCTTCCCCTTCTATCCTGTTTGCTCTTTCTCTTACTTTGCTTGCATGTCCACCTCCTCTTGTGCTGCCTCCTTCATATCGCCGACGGGAAAAGATAGGGGATTTTCAGAGAGAGAGGGAGAGAGAGAGAGAGAGAGAGAGAGAGAGAGAGAGAGAGAGAGAGAGAGAGAGAGAGAGAGAGAGAGAGAGAGAAAGAGAAAGAAAGAGAGAGAGAGATATGTGTGTGTGTGTGTGTGTTACGTGATAACCCGTCAGAAAGGAGAGAGAGAGAGAGAGAAGAGAAAAGAAAGCGGTTCGCATTGGACAAGAAAACATTCCCGCAAACAAAACAAACAAACAAACAAGTAGCGACCGAAACAGACCGAAACATTAGAAAATATTTGAGAGAAAAGACAAAGCACAATGGACGAGACAGCGCTTATATATCTAAAAGTTTTTCCTCAAGTCGGCCGTATCGCATGTGTCGCCGTGAGTTCTTCTTCCTCTGTAGATTCTGGAAAGGCCAAATTATTCTCCCGCGGACGCTCTTACGTGGCCATCCCGGTCGGGGCCAGACCGGTGGCCGTCGCTTGAAATTTTTCCTGTGGCCTCTGTTAAGGTTTACCCCCCAAGTTTGCTCCCCAGACGGTCGGCGCGCCGCTGTTCCTCCGGTTCCAGTGGCGGAAACTTTTGTCGGGTTGATATATATACGTGTGCGTGTGTGTGTGTGTATGTGTGTGTGTGTGTGTGTGTGTGTGTGTGTGTGTGTGTGTGTGTGTGGAGAGAGAGAGAGAGAGAGAGAGAGAGAGAGAGAGAGAGAGAGAGAGAGAGAGAGAGATGGATTTTTTTCATTTTTTTCTTTTTTATAATATACTTCACACCGAATCGCAGCATGATTCTACATTATTTGAGAGTTGTTGACAGGTATTTACATCGAGTAAATACGTTGTCGTGCCTTTTTTTTTTAAACTGTAGAATGGTTTACATTATTGAGTGTCGGTAAAAGCTGCTCATGCCATGCCAAGCTAATCCGATCGATGTGCACGTGTATGTCTCGCGGGAAGTGTCAGGAGGCAGTTCGCGATCTCTCTTGGAGCGAAGGACAGGGCGAAGCGAAGTGATGGAATGTGGGTCCTGTCATTGCCATATTTCTTGTCATTTTTTTATGTTTAGGTTTGGTAGAGAGAGACAGACAGAAACAGAGACAGGCAGACAGACACAGAGATAGACAGACAGACACGGAGATAGACAGACAGACACAGAGATAGACAAACAGACAAAGAGACAGACACAGACACAAACAGACAAACAGAAACAGACACACATGATGCAAATCAAAGAAAACAGAAGCAAAAGTAACTTTTATGCAATCAATGGTCAAAATTCCGGAAACGCCGACAACAACAACAATAAAACTCCAGTAACATACAAAATGAAACAAAGCCAAATACATGAGCCGTGCGGTCGTAGAGGAGACCCCTTCGGCTCGTCTCCATTGCACGGTTGCAGTGTGACGAGCGCCGAAAGCGAGCGTGTGCAAGCAGGCAGTGTAGCCACGTTGTGTGCACGAGTGTTGCATGTTCGAGGGGTTGGGGGGGAGGGTGTGCGGGGGGGGGGGAGTAGACCAGCGGCAACGGCAAGCAACTCACGCAAACTTATCGATTGTGGCCACTTTCTGGCCCAGTCCCATTCACTTGTGACATGGCCATGCGACCACACCTGTGACTGCGACTTGCCTGCTGTCTGCACGTGTTTGGTGCACCTGTAGTAATACACCTTCGTCTGTGTGTGTGTGTGCGTGTGTGTTTAAGCAAGTAAGTGTAAGTGTATGTTTGTATGTATGTATCTGCATTTGCATGTGTGTGTGTGTGTGTGTGTGTGTGTGTGTGTTTAAGCAAGTAAGTGTAAGTGTATGTTTGTATGTATGTATCTGCATTTGCATGTATGTGTTTATGTGTGTGTGTGTGTGTGTGTGTGTGTGTGTGTGTGTGTGTGTGTGTGTGTGTGTGTGTGTGTGTGTGTGTGTGTGCGCGTGCGTTTACATATGTGCGTGTGTATATGAACGTATACAGAAGCTATGAATATTTTTGCCGCCCGTTTTCTCTGATTGGAATTGTGACCGACGGGGCGAGTCGACATAAACAACGCGTGTTTTGTCTTCGAGACTTCTTTCTCCTTTCACCTTTTCACCCTCTGTCTCATTCTTCTTTGTGTTCGTTTTTCGTATTATCCGTTATTGGTTAGTTTTGTTTTTGTTTTGTTTTCCATTTTCTTCATTTTTTTGTCATGTTTGTTTTTCGTGTCCTTTTTTTTTGTCGTATTATGAGCGTTCTCCTTCACTTTCTTGCTCTTCTCCCCGTGCTTGTTGGTTCCCTCTTCTTCATTTTTGCTTCTTTTTTTCTGTTCCGTATCCTTCTTCCACTCCTTTTCTACCTTTCTCTTCTTTTCTTCCTCCCCTTCCCCCCTCCTCCTCCTCATCATCATCATCATTATCATCATCGTCATCATCATCATCAATCATCATGATCATTCTCCTCCTCCTCCTCCACCTCTTCCTCCTTCTCCTCCTCCTCCTCCTCCTCCTCCTCCTCCTCCTCCTCCTCCTCCTCCTCCTCCCCCCCTCCACCTCTCCCTCCACCTCTGCCCCCTTCTCCAACTATCCCCTCTACCATTTTCTACCGACATCTATTTATAGACCAGATCACTAGTATAAAATGCGACCATGTTTCTCTCCATTTTTTTTTTCCTTTCTCTTTTTTCTTCCTCTCTTTTGAAGAGTGAGAGTAATTTGTATTTTAATTGCCTTTCTCATGTTATGTTATTTTTTCTCTCGGCGTCCATCCGTCATCATCATCTCCAAAATAGGGGTGATTATTGTAGGACACGAGAGAGAGAGAGAGAGAGAGAGAGAGAGAGAGAGAGAGAGAGAGAGAGAGAGAGAGAGAGAGAGAGAGTTAGTGCTTATGGTGACCTCCAGGTATGGTGAGCTCAGGCCCTGGGGTGGGTGTGGTGGCGGGCGAGGGGCGTCGCTTGTGGTGAAATTTTGTGAAACTTGTGGTGATGACCGGAAGCGTGGTGTTGAAATGATGAATCGAAAAGTGGTGTTGATCTTAGGTTTCGGATTTTTGGGGAATATGGTGATGAAAGGAAGACGTGATGGGAGGAGTCCATGGCGGTCTCTGATTTTTTTTTTGTGATGATCGAAGGACGAGAGATGGGAGTGAGTTCATTGTGGGTTTTGCGCTCGTGATGACTTTTTATTTATTTTTATTACTATTTTTTTCGTTGTTGCGCGTTGCGGATTTCCCAGTTCGTATTTGCGCCAACGACCTCCTGCTGTGGTGACCTGGCTGTGGCGTTCGGCGGAGGCGGACTGTGACGAGATGTAATGCAGCATATCTTGGGGGTCACGCAACGCCATTGATCTTGGCCGCTGGCGTCCGTCCCGCCGCGCCGCTTCCCTCGGGGCGCCCGCCGCTGCCGCGACCTCCTCCGCTTCCTTCTCCCCCGTCGTCTCCTGGCCCTCCTTCGGCGACTGCTTCGGCGATTCCTCCCTGTTCGCCCCTCTTCTTGTCCGTGTCCTTTTTGGTCTTCAATTCTTCGTTAGTGTCTTCGTCCTTCTTCGTATTCTCCTCTTCCTCCTCCTCCTCCTCCTCCTCCTCCTCCTCCTCCTCCTCCTCCTCCTCCTCCTCCTCCAATCCTCCTCCTCCTCTTCTTGCTCATCCTCTCCTTCGTCACGACGGCCTGCGTCTCCTGGCCCTCCTTCGGCGACTGCTTCGGCGATTCCTCCCTGTTCCCCTCTTCTTGTTCGTGTCCTTTTTGGTCTTCAATTCTTCGTTAGTGTCTTCGTCCTTCTTCGTATTCTCCTCTTCCTCCTCCTCCTCCTCCTCTTCTTGCTCTTCCTCTCCTTCGTCACGACGGCGCTTCTGCGGATGCCAAGGAGTATCTACTTCAGCGTCACTTGGCTTCTATAAATCCATCTGTCTATTTATCTATCTCTCTTGCTGTCAGTCTACCTCTTTGTTTGTATTTGTACATTGATTTTTTTTTATTTGTTATATGTGCGTACTGTTTTTTTATTACTATTTTTTTCGTTGTTGCGCGTTGCGGATTCCCAGTTCGTATTTGCGCCAACGACCTCCTGCTGTGGTGACCTGGCTGTGCCGTTGGCGGAGGCGGACTGTGAGAGGTAATGAAGCATATTTTGTGGTCACGCAACGCCATTGATTCTTGGCGCCTTGGCGTCCGTTCCCCGCCGCGCTCCGCTTCCCTCGGGGCGCCCGCCGCTGCCGGCGTAACCTCCTCCGCTTCCCTTTCTTCCCCCGGTCGTCTCCTGGCCCTCCTTCGGCGACACTGCTTCGGCGATTCCTCCCATGTTTCGCCCCTCTTCTTCGGGTCCTTTGTCCATTTTGGTCTTCAATTCTTCGTTAGTGTCTTCGTCCTTCTTCGTATTCTCCTCTTCCTCCTCCTCCTCCTCCTCCTCCTCCTCCTCCTCTTCTTGCTCTTCCTCTCCTTCGTCACGACGGCGCTTCTGCGGATGCCAAGGAGTATCTACTTCAGCGTCACTTGGCTTCTATAAATCCATCTGTCTATTTATCTATCTCTCTTGCTATCAGTCTACCTCTTTGTTTGTATTTGTACATTGATTTTTTTTTATTTGTTATATGTGCGTACTGTTTTTTTAGTACTATTTGATTCATATTAATTTTTTTTTATTATTATTTAGTATTATTATCGTCACTATTGCCACCTATATCATATCGTTGCCATCGTTCTTATAGTTGATATTTCGTACGATTATCACCTTCAATATTTGTTGTTTAAAACCGATAATCAATTGCACAGTCGGTCCATGCAACGCCCACGTCCCCCCAACATCCCTCCTAACGCGTCCGGCTCCTCGAAAACGATCTCAGACGTCGACTTTGAACACGGAGAACATCGGAGAACATCGCAGAACATCACGACCCTGGCCTCGAAGGTCTCCTGGAACACCACTCGAGCACCGCCGTGAACAGGGAGGGAGGCAGGAAGAACGCGGAACAGAGGGAGCGAGGGAGGAGGGAGGGGGAGGGGAAAGGAGGGAGGGAGGGAGGGGAGGGAGGGAGGGAGGGAGGGAGGGAGGGAGGGAGGGAGGGAGGGAGGGAGGGAGGGAGGGAGGGAGGGAGGGAGGGAGGGAGGGAGGGAGGGAGGGAGGGAGGGAGGGAGGGAGGGAGGGAGGGAGGGAGGGAGGGAGGGAGGGAGGGAGGGAGGGAGGGAGGGAGGGAGGGAGGGGGAGGGGAAAGGAGGGAGGGAGGGGGGGATGGAGACGGTGGAAATGTGAGGCATTCGATTGGCGTTATTAGGTTATGTTCTCTTTCTAGCTCTCTCTCTCTCTCTCTCTCTCTCTCCTTCTCTCTCTCTCTCCTTCTCTCTCTCTCTCTCCTTCTCTCTCTCTCTCTCTCTCTCTCTCTCTCTCTCTCTCTCTCTCTCTCTCTCTCTCCTCTCACCCCCCCCCCCCTTCGCTCGCCCTCTCTTTCCCCCCCTCCGCCTTCCCCGCCGATCTTGTCAAGCCTCCCCCATTAGCTGTTCGTTTTTCTGTTCTTTCTAATATGTCCTCCGCATAACGTAGCAAGTTTTATGCCAAAGTCTCGCAAAACCTGTTTTAGTAGGGCTGCGTCGGCAAGTTATGTTGGGGATGGGAAAGGCAGCCGGGGTTGAGG